GATATAGAATCATTAATTACGTATACAAACCTTAAAAAAAACGTATCATTTCCTTATTTCGATTTCTTATAGGGATTTAAGTTTATCAAAACCAAATAAAGCATATGAAAATCTTTCTTTGACTAATAATAATAACAAAAACAAATTTTTTTAAATAATTCAAATATTGTAATTGAAATACTAAATTATTTGATTAATATATTAATATATAAAAGAAAAATGTTATATAATAAATAATATAATAATAATCATATTATATTTTTTTTAGAATATTTAATCTGATTATTATTAAAACTAAATATATTATATCTTTATATTTTTATATTTAATTTTTTCTTATTATAGATTATGGAAAAAGCATTTAAATAAGATAAAAGATTAAGAATTTCTAATGAAAATAAATAAATTATAATTTATTCAAATGAAAAAATAATAAGTAATATTAAAAATAAAATTAATAAGATTATTAGAAATCAAAATATAAAATCAGAAAGCTATTAGTATATATTATAAATTAAAATAATTAAGAAAAAAAAAATAGAAATATCTCTAGTAAATAAATATTATCTAATAAACAAATTATACTATATAGCTTATGTAATTAATCTAATCATATTTGATTTAATTAAATTAAATCTATTAAAAAATTTATTTCTAAATATAATAAAATTAATCATTATTTTAATATTGTTAATGTGTAATTCTTGTGAACTACAATTGTTAGATGAGGTGTCAGAGTATTATTTCTTTTTAATTGTATAGTAATCTTAAGGCTTTACAAGTTTGTTATTATGACTAAATTCAGATAAAAAGGTTTATATGAGTGTTTCACAAATAATAAATCATAGTGTATTAAGTAATTATATTTTGAAGTAAGATGTTTATTAACGAAATAAGAGAATAGAAAATAGAAAAAATAAAAGAGATAACAAGAGAAAAGAAAGAAAATAAAGAAACGAGATACTAAAATTAAAGTATAATATAATAGGCCTGTTTGTCTTTAAAAACCACTAGAAAACTGACTTGTTAAATCCTACTTTTATATGGTTTAAAAAGCTATCTATTTATATAAAATACAATATATAAAAAGATATAACTAATATATCATATATGTCAAATATGCTAAATATGTCATATATGTCTAATCTGTTTAATATATTATATTTGTTGATCATGTCAGATATATTATATATGTCAGATATGTTAGAAATGTTAGAAATGTTAGATATATCAGATTTGTTGATCATCTGCGGCATATAGATCTGTTATATTTTAACTGTTCACAATATATATATATATACTACTATAAACTAATTACATTTTAAAGTTTATAAAAATATTTAAAAGAAGTTAATGAATATTTTAATATAAATAACTATTAGATTTATTTAAAAATATAGTACAGTTTATATATCAAAAAGTAAAAAAAAGTCAAAATCATAAATTTTTATTAATCAAATGATTAATATCTATATTAATATTATTTATTATGATCATTATATAACATGGTTAACCATTATTATCTTTAAAAAAAAATGTATTCAAGTTGTTAAAATTTAAAAAAATTACTTTTTGAGTATTAAACTTTGAAGAATTTTACTTGTTAAGTTTACTAGGATTTAGTTAATCATTTAAATATTAAAGATAAAACTTAGTTAAATTATATAAAACCTTATTAAAAAATCTTTAAAATTTGAGATAAATCTATATCAAAGCTTATAAATAGTGAAACTATATTAACTTTAGTAAAAAATTAGCATAATTAAAGTTTTAAATATTTAGTTAAATATAAAATGAGTTTAGATAAGCAACCTTATTACTTTTAAATATAAACTTTAAAGAAATAGTTAACAGAACATAAATATTAAAAAAAAATACTATTAGAGTATTTCTTATTATTGAAAACATATTCTTTAAAATAAATTACTTTTAAAGTAATTTTTTGAAGAAAAATACTACAAAAGTATTTTCTTTAAATTTTATATTCTAAAAGTATTTTCTTTAAAATTAATATTCTAGTAGTATTTTTCTTTTATAGTTAATATTTTGGTTTCATTTTTTTTGTAGTTTATACTTTAAAATTATTTTTCTTTAAAGTTTAATACTTTGCATTTTCTTTAAAGTTAATGCTTTGGAAGATTTTTCTTTAAAGAAAATACTTTTTAAGTATTTCTCTTTAAAGAAATGTTTCAAAGATGTTTTTTTTTCAAGAAAATCATATCAGAATTTTTCTTATAAAGAGAATTATTCTAAAAACAGTTTTCTTGAAGAAAATTATTTAGAGATATTTTTTTTTGAAGATAAATAATCTGAAAAGCTGTTATCTTAAAGAAAAACACTTCTTAGAGTATTTTAATCATTCTGAAATATTTTTTGGATTTTATTAATAATATAAGTCAAATAAGCTAGCTTATGCAACCATGATGGATCGGTGGCCTTTTAAGCTTAATCAGGTTAATCTTGAAGGCCATTATACTTATTGGGTATTTTGCCTGTAACTTTATAATAAATTCCAGTATATGCAGCTTTATTTTCCTGTGAAGAAATCATTAAAGCAGAGGCCAAAATACTGAGTTATATTGAGATTAAAAGGCTTTATTTTATCTTGCCTGCATTGTTTTAGTTTTAGGATTTCCTTCCTAATTATACTAATAATCAAGCTGCATATTATGTTATCTGTGATTTATAATAACTAGTTTTTAATCTTCCTCTATGATCATTAACGTGAGTTATTTTTTGGATCTAAAGGTCTTCTTCGTATTAAGTTGCCTGTAGTAATTTATTTTTTGATTGGATTATATGACGATTTGACGCGTTCTGATAATATATCAAAAAAAATTTTTTTTCTTTAACCTGAACAACGCTTGCCACCTCTACGCGGTATCCGGGAGAATGAGTTATAGGTTAATCTATATCTGGCTAAGTGCAAAAAATGTTGTGATTTTGAATTAATAAAGAAAATTCGTAGAAAATTTATGACAAAGTTGCAATATTTGGCTAATAAGATCCACATTATTTATTCTGCCTATCTTTGTAATCCAAGTTTCAAATTTCGATAACAGATAGGATTATGAAAATCAGAACGTACTATAGAAACCTTAAGAATGTTCACCTTTTCTATCACAGAATAAATTCTACGTCGGTTTTTCAAATAGCTCTGTTTGTCCCGAAAAACTGATTTAAATGGATAACACAAATGAAAAAAAAAATGAAATCAGAACATATATAGCAATCTGGTACACGAGTCTTTGGACAAGCATCATTTTGCTTTACGCATTTTAATTTCTAACTTTATCTGAAAAAAAAATTTTTAATACAGTTACACATCATTTCATTAAACATTTGTGAATACGGCTGCAATATAAAGATGAATCAATATAGCATATTCACAACATATTATAATCTGGTAAAGTTGAAAAGAACTGGAAGTAACTCTACTAAAAATGTTCTGGTCGTCCCAAAAATCATCTTGGAGGGTTTAAAGATTTGGAAATCTTCTAGAAAATTGGCATCCAAATTATCGTTAAAAGGTGTGAATTTTCTGATAATCTGATGCTGCAGCAT